AATTGATGGCTGACATGGTTTTAGTTGTTCTACTCCAAAGGGTGTCACAAAGTCTTTCCTTTTATGGGTGACTGCAATACAAAATTTAGAAACCACGCATTCCTATTAAATTTGTATCTTTTCATACCACTACTAACTGGTCAAATTCCCCTTACGTAGATCTTACCATATGGTGGCATTACATGAATTTCATGCATAAAAATGTAGTTTACTTTTACACTATTCATTGGCTTACATACAGCAGCTGAAACCTAAAATGACTGATTTCCCAAAATATCTCTATTGGGCGGTTTTTGCAAATACAACATTTTTTTTGTAACAGTGATAGGGCACAACTAAGTGGTGGAAGAAGCAGAGACAATATAGCTAAAAACTATTCGATAGGATACACTTTGAAAAAAAATACTAAACTAAAGCGAGCCATACAGTAGCAGATATTTTTGAAGGAACATTCAAACAAGAATTCTCATCAGTACATGCACTTGCTTTTAACATTTTGGAGTGAATGGACTTTCCCTAACAAAAAGGCATACACTGTTATAATTGTGCTTGTTCAAGAAACTTTCCCATCTTGCTCCTTCAAATTTTATCTTCAGGCCACAATTTCAGAGCGATCGAGCAAGCATATTGTATACAGAAATCAAAACGTACAGTTTTGTTTTTCTTTTCTGTTTAAAATTGGAAGCATAAATTATTTACACACATTTTGACTGCAGCTATTAAATCTTTTTGAAGAGGCTGACATCTCTAGACAATGGAGCTGGCATATTGTATAGGAAAAGACTGAAGATTGGCAAATGTTACAGTTTGCATCACAACTATTAAGCTTGCATAGACAGGCCACAATTTTTGAGTGATCAAGTCGGCACTGGTATAATAAAGGAAGGAGGAGACTACTGGAGGGGAAATAGGAGATATCCATCCATTCATACCTTAATACAGGGATCAACAGATTGGAGAGACCCCAGATGGAATATTGCCATAACTACAGCTATCCAAAAAGTATCTGGAGGAATATCGTAAGCAGGAGAATTATGTTACATCTGTCCTTTAAGGACAAAAAGCTGTTTTTGCCTAATATCAATTAGGCGAAGTATAAGGTGAGCGCATAAATAGATCACACTGCATCCAGATACTGAAGTGGGAGTTTCTGAATTGAAAGAGGACTTTGTTTCTACATATATATATTGACTTTGGTTATGTGGTTTATTTAGAATTAGTTGTTTATTTGTTTTCACATTGGGCATGTACACTGTCATTATAATTTGAAGGTTATAGGACCAGTCACTTATTTTATATATTATTATATATTTTTTGAGTACATTTATGCAGCTGATATTTGGATTGTTTTGAGCACATTATTAACACAGAAGTGCGGCACTATTGGTTATAGTCTTTTAGTCCCAAAATCTATTTAATGAGTTGGTGTGAGTGCCAGCGAACCTTATGTGAATTTATTTAATTGTACCTAATTAATTGATTAACACAGTCACTATCCACCATAGTAGCTCACAAGTATACACACAATTTTTTTTATTCACTTCTCATGGACAGCAATGGCCATAGATGAATTGAAATTCAGCTAGTGCCAGCTGAAATGGTCTAATTTTGATTGATGTATGATCAGATTTAATGTCTTTTTGTTTTAAATTGAGCATGTCTGCAGGAAAATCAAAGCTGATATCAGTGTACTAACTTCCGTTAGAGAAGGGGGAGTATAACAAATTATATTGTGTATTGAATTTTACAGATATTCAGAAACAAATCTTGTCCTTTAAAATGGGAGGCAATTTTGGAGGCCAAGAGAAAGCATAATTCTGCCTAAAAAAAAACTGAAACTGTATATTTTTCAAAGACACTTTATTTTAAAAAATGTAATTTGCTGAACAGAATTCTATCCTTTCTGATGTGAAGCAATTTTGGAGACTTATAGTAAGCATATATCACTGTTAGTTATAACAGTTAACATATTTGATGCAAAGAGAAGCATTTTTTTTAATAGAAGGCAATTAGTAGGGAGGAAGTAGCCATATTTCAGGCAGAAATAATGGAAAATGCTTATGTTTCTAAAGTGGGGTAAACACTATGAGAAAATCAGATGAACAATCATCCAATTTTTCCATGAAGGTGTACATAATGAGGTAAGCAACAATGAAATTAACTTGTACAAAAATCCTTGAATGACAAAGGCAAATGTTCTTTCTTGTGTAGGATTTCCATGATCGTTGCCACTTTTTTCTGGGTTGTTCTTTGCTTCTGATCATGCACATTTTTTTCTATTAAATTAGTTCTGTACAATTACTGTACACTGAGTGAAAATCAGACATTGGGGTTTATTTACTAAAGCTGTTTCACTCAGAATCTCCTGCACTTCTACATAGAAATCAATCAGCTTCCAGGCTTTATTGCTAAAGCTTAATTGAACAAGCTGAGGTTTGAAGCTGATTGGATACCATGCACTGGTGCACAAGATTCTGAGTGAACGTGCTTTAGTAAACAACCCCCATTGTGTTCACATATGATAAACATTTTTTACCTTGCACATTCAGATTTTTCATTTGAACAGTTCGAATCGACTGTCGAAAGAGGATAAGTTATTTTATGCGGTATACAACCAATTCAACTTAAGCCAAAAAGAGAAGCAATGAGTGAAAATCAGACATTGTGTTCACATATGATAAACATTTTTAAGCTTGCAGAATTGGATTTTTCATCTGAACAGTTGGAATTGACTGTTGAAAGTACTATACCAGCGATCAGATAATCAACCAATCATTCTTCATACAGAATTTTTCTTTTGATATTCTTCTAATGTGTACCCAGCTTTAGACACTATGTTTAAATGGTAATGCTTTGCTACTCACTTTGAATGCTTACGCAGTGGAGTGGGGACTTCATCAGAGGGTGTGCTTTGTGTTTGGGAGATCTGGATATTAGTTACATGTATTATGTGAGTAGCTTTTGGGTTTTCGTCTCTTTTACATGTGTTATGTGAGTAGCGATTTGTTTTTTTTGCCTCTCTCTGTTTTACCCAGTATACTGTAGGCTTTATCATGGAGATAGGGGGAGCAGAGAGCGTGTACCCAGCTTTAGACATTACGTTTAAATGGTACTGCTTTTCTACCCAGAATCCCATCTCTCTTAAGAGGTGGCAATTTCAGAAGCAGAGAGTAGGCATATATCAGCCAAAAAATGTTATCTATGCTGTAAGTTTTCAGAGAGATTGTATACATTGAAAATATTTAATACACACAATCTCATCCTTTTAAATAGGATATAATTGTAGAAGCAGAGAAAAGTCATATTTCACTTAAAAATTGTAAACTGGTATTTTTCTGAACAAATCACCAAAATATGTATTAGTGCTAGTACATACAGTAAATTCATGATTATTACATTTGTGAATAAAACATAAACAAATACCCAAACTTTGCAAATATGAATGTCAGAGTTATATTAAACTGTATGAATGATGATCCAAATCCTGTGAACAGAAATTCTTTATTATATCTTTCAAAGAAATTTGGAGAAAAAAACACCTCTAACACCATGGTTGTGCTTACCTTAGGTGATAAAGGGTCAAAAACACATTATCTAATATAAACAGAAGATGACACCACACCTCTGCTTTATATGTGGTCAGGGTCATAGCCTCAAAAAATCCTTCACATTGCAAAGTCCCTCAAATAAAATGTCACATCTACTGCTCTCTGTATACTTTTTATTAAAAATGAAAAGCCAAAAAACTGCTCACATATAAATGATGTGCATCTCAATAAATGTCACCCGCTAGTTGTTTCCCTGCAGACTGGGAACAGGCTCTGGGCCTCCCAAACACAAAGCACTGTCATTCACTTCCTCGTCTGAGTCAGGCATGATGACATCACTACGCAGTGGGGTGGGGACTTCATCAGAGGGTGTGCTTTGTGTTTGGGAGATCTGGACATTATTTACATTTTTTATGAGAGTAGCTATTTGGTTTTTTGCCTCTCTCTAATGTTTTTACCGAATGGAGATAGGGGGAGCAGGGTGGATGTTATTTCATGCAGTAAACAGTGAATGCAACTTAAGACAAAAATAGATACATACTATATAAACATCCAGTAACCAAAAAATAATAACATACTTAGACAGATAGAATGTTTCAGTGTGCAATGAGTTTTGCCTTTGGATATGCAATTACAGCTTTCTATCAGTAGCATGGCATAGCCATGCCACTGGGAAATTCAGTGTGATGCAGTTTGTCCTCTTTTAGTTGCTTATGCAGCTGAGAACAGAGGATATATGATCAAAAATGTTTTTTTTATATGTACACACAAATGTTTTGCCTTCAAATTATATTTTAAACTAAATGGGGTTTTTTTTTAAGGTGAGGGTTTACAGGTAATTTTAAAATTAATTTTTATTATATGTAAATCTGAAGCTTTTATTGAAGTAGTACTGAATGATTTTGCTATGAATGTCCTAGTTCATGCACTTCTTGTCTTAGGGTAACATCATTCTCTAATAGGGAAGAGTGAATACATCTGTGTCAGTTTATGGGGTGCTTGTCAAACACTGCATAGCATCCGAAAATTACAACGTTAAGTCTAACCCAACTGAAGTAAAAAACACCCTTTCAGCCTATTGTAACTGTAAACAGTGAATTAGAAGTGCTGTAAAAAATATGCAGATAAAATATCAGCAGCATTTGAGATTTAAAACGCCTCTCCTCAGGGAATGACTTTTTGGGTCATGTGATTAGACACTCTCATCATTCTCTCTGCTACTAATCTGCTACTATGTTCCAGTAGGCACTAATCCTGGGGGGACCTTGTCTATCCATCTATACTGATTGTTGTTTGCTGAATTACCCAGTGTGTCATTTGTGTGGCTTGCACCATGAGAGCAAAGCACAACAAAGAAGACCATGTGACTGCAGATTGGACTTAATCAAGATAGTGCCCTTCCCCATCATATGCACAGAGGAAATACAAAGAGGCAATGCAGAAGTTATAGAAATATGCTTGTATGCTGCTAAGTACTCTGTTGGAAAGCCTAACCAGAAACATCACACATATGCTCACCTGCCTTCAGGGGCAGACTGACAACTCATGGGGCCACCGGGCAATAGGGGATCATGGGGCCCCTGTGTCCTTGCCCAAACTCAAAAAAGCCTATGAAAAAGGTACCAGGGGCATCTCATGGGGCCCCCTACTGACCCTGGGCCCTCGGGCAAGGCCCGAGTTTCCAAATGGTCAGTCCACCCCTGCCTGACTGCAAATGACCCTAATCTTACTGGGGAGAGAGACAGTTTGGGGCTACAATCTGAAACACAGTGAGTGCCATAGACACTGAAAGACATTTCCATGGCAATTAAGACCTCTAACTCCTCATTGGCCTTACTGACCAGCTGCAGGACATAAAAGAAGAAATCTCCTTAGTCAGGCGCAGGGGTGGACTGACAACTCATGGGGCACCCCGGGCAATAGGGGATCATGGGGCCCTTGTGTCCTTGCTCAAACTCAAAAAAGCCTATGAAAAAGGTACCAGGGGCATCTCATGGGGCCCCCTACTGACCCTGGGCCCTCGGGCAGTGCCCAAGTTTCCAAATGGTCAGTCCACCCCTGGTCAGGCGTAATATGCAGATATTGTGGCAGTAGAGACCCAGTCTCTGGAGGGCTGCATCAATGGCTTGAAGGATGACATTACCCTTCTCCTACATGCTATCAATCCCAGTCTAGCCTGTCCAGTCATGAAGCTTGCTTTGAAGACATGACAAATAGATTGCACAGAAACAACATAACAATATAACAATGTGAAGAAAATAAATAACAAACTTAAAAATTAATTAATTATCTCTTTCTCATAAAGGCAAACACATGTCATCCAATCCTTCTTTTGTGTAAAGTTCATCAATAAACCACTATGCTCCTTTGTGTAAACAACATAAAAGAGGATACAATCAGTACAGATCAATGTGTCCCTTCACCAATTCAGATGGACAGCCACTCATTAGATAATATTGCCTCTGAAAACAAAGTTCACCAAACAGCGCTCTGTCATCCAGTACAGATGCTTCTCTCATACTATCAAGTCTCCTCCTCCTCCTCTTTCCTCCACAGTATTCACATTGTGAGAGCATGGAAAATGAAATGACATAGCATAGTACTGCTACACCCGGTACTATATTTGTGTATTAGAAAGCATGTATACTCACAAACAGTGATTTTCACATTGTTTCACCCTGTGATCTGCTTTGCAAGATGTATATTAGCTTATCATAACATGCAATTGCCATAAATTCAGCACAGATTCCACATCCAGTTGTCCCTCCATCTATTCTATTGAACAACCCCTCACCAACTAATGTTGCTTCTCTTTAGATAAAGATCAGCAAAATGCACTCAGAACTTTTTTAATCCTGTGCAGCTGCTTATCATGGTAGCAGGTCTCATTTTCCTCCTCTCTCTACACAAAATTAAAATCATAAAATATTGGCAAAATAAAACAAAACATGGCATAGTACTGCTAAAACAAACAAGTGTTGGGGCATGTCTGAGCCACTGAGATGTATGGCAGCCTGAGCCTGGAGCTCTGCTCTATTCCTGCTTTACTAAGGAACCCTCAGCATAGACAAACACACATTGTCAATGCTGCACCTGGAACTGTCACCAGCCTCAAGGGAACATGAGCAAGGATAAAAACAACCCCAAAGATCCTTGTTGACTGACAGATTTCTTCCCCAAATATGATGCAGAGGGAGGTCAAGGTTGCATGGATAGCAGACACAAGCAGCACATCCTATTTCCCAGCTTGTAGACACTGCACACCCAGCATTAACTGCAGAGGAGGACATCACAGATCTGAAAGAAATGCCCCAAAAAACTGACACATCACCACTGCAGTCACTACATATAAAGTGTCCTGTAAGTAATAAACAGTCATTTTCATCTTGCACTACTTTGCCTGAGTTTTGTGAATCTAGCAATCATTTAGAAGAGCTCCCAGCTTTGGATACACTGGCCTCAGCTTTTCAGCTTAAACAAATGCTCTCCATAAAGGTCTGACAGTCTGTCTGCACAATATCAGTAAATACAACAACATAAAGAAAAGGTAGCAGATCTGGAAGACAGATCATGCAGATGTAACATCAAATTCAAGTGCATCCCTGAATTATCTCCATCAGCTTCTTTAAATGAGCTCACCCTTGTTTTCTCTACAAGATCTTCTTGATCATACACACACAATTTGTTCCTTGAGATTTGCTTACAAGGCTACACTTTTTTATGTAACAGATAACCTAATGTCTATTACTAAACAACTTAAATCCTTGTCAGATCCATATGCTTCTGTTTATATGTTCTCTGGCATCTCAGTTACCACTGCCCAGAGATGGTAGGCATTTATGTCCTTCACTGATGCCCTGTGTACAAGAAAAATTCTTTACAAATAGGGATATCCCACTAAGCTTCTGGTTGCCTACCAAGACCAAATAATCTCTATTATCCCAAATGATGGTATTAAATATCTTATCATATGAGGTGTGCATAGTACACCAGAAACCAACAACCTCTGCCTCCTCAAGTTTCAGGTTCCAGGGCTTCAGCCCAATCATGGGTAAGGTGGGTAGCACTTCATTTCTTCTTGTCAAGTTTAGAAAGTGTCACAGGTATTCTTCATTGCGTGAGTCTGCTAGGCGTACTCATAGTTTTTCCCTTTGTTTACTCAAACTCTTTACATATAAAGACATAGCTGTGGCGCTAAACAAGGCCATAATCCTAGAAAATATAGAGATCAATGGCTCTAAGATTTCTCTCTTCCCTAATTTTCCCATGGAACTACAGACTCAGAAGGCCAAATATCAAGAAGTGCCTCAAACTAATTATTCAAGTTGCCATATTAAATTCTCCAAGATAAGGGTTTTGCCAAGGTTGACATCCACTTCTTCAAATTACCAAAAGCAGCAGCAATCTGGGTAGGCCACAAGAGATACCTAAAATCTTAGAGGTCTCATCATCCTACAGTTAGGTCCATATATATTTGGACACAGGCACAATTTTAATTTCTTTCAGGTATTTATCAAAACATATTCAAGCTATAGTTATATAATGGACATGGGCTGAAAGTGCACACTCTCAGGTTTAATTTGAGGGTATGTACATCCTACTTGGTTGAAGGTTTAGGAATTATAGCTCCTAAGAGTAGCCATCTCCCCTTTTTCAAGGGACCAAAAGTAATTGGACAGTTAAATCAAAAGCTTTTTCATGGCCAGGTGTGTGCTGCTCCATTATTTCTTCATCAATTAAGCAGGTAAAAGGTCTGCAGTTGATTCTAAGTGTGGTATTTGCATTTGGAATCTATTGCTGTGAACCTACATCATGCGTTCAAAGGAGCTGTCCATGCAAGTGAAATAGGCCATTGTAAGGCTTCAAAAACTAAACAAATCCATCAGAGAGATAGCAGCAACATTAGGAGTGACCAAATCAACAGTTTGGTCCATTCTGAGGAAAGACGAACGCACTAGTGAGCTCAGCAACATAAAAAGGCATGGATGTCCATGGCAGACAACAGTGTTGGATGATTGGAGGATCCTCTCTATGGTAAAGAAGAAAAACACATTCAGACAAGTGAATAACACTCTCCAAGAGGTGGGCGTATCATTGTTAAAATCTACAATCAAGAGAAGACTTCACAAGAGCAAATACAGAGGGTTCACCACAAGGTGGCAAACCATTCAAAAGCCTGAAGAATAAAAAAACCAGATTGGACTTTGCCAAAAAACATATAAAAAAGCCAGACCAGTTCTGGAAAAGCATTCTTTGGGTGGATGAAACTAAGATGAATCTGTACCAGAATGACGGGAAGAATAAAGTGTGGAGAAGGCTTGGAACAGCTCATGATTCAAAGCACACAACGTCATCTGTAAAACATGGTGGAGGCAGTGTGGTGGCATGGGCATGCATGGCTTCCAGTGCCACTGGGTCATTGGTGTTTATTATATTTGACAGAAGACAGAAGCAGCCGGATGAATTCTACAGTGTTTAGAGATATACTGTCAGCCCAGATTCAGCCAAATGCAGCAAAGTTGATTGGACGGCGCTTCACAGTACAGATGGACAATGGTCCAAAACACACTGCAAAAGCAACCCAGGAGCTTTTGAAGGAAAAGAAGTGTAATATTCTGCAATGGCCGAGTCAATCAACTGATCTCAACCCCATTGAGCATGCATTTCACTTGCTGAAGGCAAAACTAAAAAAGGCAGGAAGACCTACAAAGAAAGAACAACTGAAGACAGCTGCAGTTAGAGCCTGGCAACATCAGAAAGGAGGAAACCCAGTCTTTGTTAATGTCCATGGGTTCCAGACTTCAGGCAGTCATTGCCAGTAAAGGATTCTCAACAAATATTACAAATGAACATTTTATTTATGATTATATTTGTTTGTCCAATTACTTTTGGTCCCTGGAAAAAGGGGGGATAGCTATTCTTAAGAGCTGTAATTCCTAAACCCTTCCTCCGATTTGGATGTACATACCCTCAAATTAAAGCTGAGAGTGTGCACTTTCAGTCCATATCCATTATATAACTATAGCTTGAATATGTTTTGGTAAATACCTGTAAAAAACTAAAATTGTGCCGGTGTCCAAATATATATGGACCTAACTGTATGTGAAGTTCTACCATAAATTTAAAGATGCCTTAGATATATGAAGAAGGCTATAACTTCTGAACATGATGTTCTGTTTATTACTCTGACCATATTTGTCAACTACTCAGACACAGAGGTAAATCTGTTGTTCCCAGCTGATTTATTTGTTAACATACAGTACTTCTAAAGTCTCAGCTGACACCAGATGGCATTTTCATCTCCATCTCTTTCATGTCACCTCTTCATTTATTGAGGAACTTCAGGCAGCACAAAGGGCATATCTTTTGCTTATTATGCATCTAAACAACCTGACCAACTTGATTAATTTACCCACCACACCCTCCTTTGGCATCATCCCAGTGGAAACATCCAGGTCTTTTATATAGAATATTTTCTGTATATTTTTTGTTCTTCAAACAAATGAACAGCAGTGTTTTCTATCGTTCAACATTAAGCACCTACCGTTGTACGTTAGCACCAAACACATCTGAGTAAAGATATGATTACTTGCTTAAATGTGCTAAATTCAATACAAAATATAATTTGGTATACTCCTCCTTCTCTACGGAAGT